GGCTTTCTGCAGATTACTGGAGTAGTTGCTTTTCTCACTCCTGTGACAAAATACCAGGAGAGTCTTGGAGAGCTGTTCATGTGGACAGCTACAGGAACCATGGCTCACACAGTGACAAGGCTTTGCCAAGAGTGAACCCATGAGAGCTCAGCCTGAAGTTCAAGAGGCCCACACTTCCCTATTTGAGGGCCCTGTTCAATTTATACCTCTGGTGTCTCTGGGTCAACCCTGGGCACATGGGTCAGAGATCCATGTGGAGGATGAGCAACAGGCCCTCCTGGCCTCTGAAGGGAGCCTGACAAGCAAATTCACTGGAAAGGGACAGCCAGGCCTGGGAGGAGAATCAGACCCTGTGAGCCATGACTCAGGAATCTCCTAACATACTCATAGGAAGAGGTGCACTTCATAGAAGCCAGGGCATGCTGTCACACACATGCATGCATGCATGAATGCACAGGTCCACACACACACAACTGAATGAGGGGTTGTTTCGAATGGTTGACATAGGCTATATGTGATTCCACTGGATCAGTTGACTTCTATTTTATTTTATTTATTTATTATTTATTTTTAGATAGAGTCTCTCTACAGAGACCTGGCTTTCCCGGAACACACTATGTAGAACAGGCTGGCCTCAAACTCACAGATATCCATCTACCTCTGCCTGCTGAGACTGGAACTAAAGACATGTACAACAATATCCAGAGACTTGTGTTTTATTATACTTATTCCAACTGCACAACTTTACTAAAAATTTTCTGATGACCCACCAATATGGCATGACTTAAGGAAAACAAAACAAAAACTATGGGTAATACTGGAGCAATATGCTCCAAGCCCCTGTGAGGGTCAGTTTCAGTTGCCTGCTTGATTGTATTGAAAACATCTGGGGCATTAGTGAGGCCCAAGGTTAAGTATATCCCTGAGACAGTTTCCAGAGAGGGTTACCTGAGGGAGCAAACTCACCTTGGATGTAGACATCGCCATCTCACGGGCTGGGTCCGGAACTGCATAAAAAGACAAAGGGATGAAATGAAGCTGAGCCCCAGCATGCACCTCTCTCTGTGTCCAGACTGTGGATGCCTGAGGTCAGCTGACTGCAGCCCCTGTGGCCACACCTTCTCCACCCTGCTGGGCTGCATCCTCTCTAACAGCTGCCACATAAGCCTTCCTCCCTTAAGATGCTTCCTGTCAGCTGTGTTGTCAGAGCCGAGGAGCATGGTGAAGACTGACCTTATCCATAAGTGAAAATGCCATCATGCAACCTGATACTTTAAAAAATGTTTCCGTTACTGCATTTATTCATTTATATGTGTCGAAGGTGTGTTGGGCATGGCGAATGCACACGTAGAAGTCAGAAGGCGACCTGTGGGAGTCAGTTCTCTCCTTCTCCCATGTGGGTCGTTGGGATCGATCTCAGGTCATCAGGCTTGGGGGCAATCACTTCTCCCCACATAGCCAGCTCACTGGCCCACAAGCCAGTATTTTATGCAATTATTATAGACTCATAAAGAGGGTACATTTTAAAATGCAAATCGCAGACTCATATCGGTTGTGCTAGTCTAGAACTCTCTGTGTAACCTTGACCGGAATCTTCTGCCGCACTCCCCAGAGCTATGCTGGCAGGTGTGAGCCACCTCCCCCAGCTAATTATACAAACACTGAAAAATCACACTTAGGAAGAGACTCCCGTACAGGTCTCTGTGCAGTTCATTCTTCATCCAGTGACCCTGAGCCTCCATCAAAGTGGCTGCAGAGATGTGGGAACCAGCCTAGACTAGTTCTGGTTCTGAGCTGTTGGGGGCTTTTGTGAACATAGATCCTGTCGCACCCTCAGTCCTGCTTTGTTCCTACTCTCTTCACCATTAGGTCCACCCCGTGGGATCCACCCCAGGGTCCTTGGGAACAGCCTTGGACCCTGCATGCACGCTCTGGAAGGTGGTATTTAAAATGTGCAACACGAATACACACTCCAATGATCCATGAAGGACTGAGCTCGTGCCTGTGGTGTGCCAGTTTCTCTAATGCAGATGAAATACTTGAACTGGTTTTTGCCTTGTTTCCATTTTTTGGTTGTTGGTTTTAAAGGGGCAGTGAGATGGCTTAGCAAGTAAACACACTTGCCAGCAAGTCTGACGACACGAGTTCAGTTGTGGAAAGAATCAGCCCCACAGCTTCTCCCCTGATCTCCACGTGCACACAGACCCAGACACACAAACACACACACTGAATAAATAATTTTTAAAATAACTGAACGGAATTATTAAATATATATATATTAAAATATATAGAGAAGTTTTGCTTAGGACCTCACTCTTTCAAGTTCCAGTCTCTATCAGCTCTGAAAAAGAACCAACATGTTTACATAATACTGGGACATCCCAACATTGCCAGTGGGAAGTCCTGATGCTGGACTCTGGCCAGTGGCTGAGAGATTGAGTGAAACCCCATCTGCTTTTTCTGAACTAGGCCTCATCAGAAGACCCCCAATCCAGGGACATGAGGTAAGAAAGGGCACATTGCCTCTCTGCTGGTGGGTTGGAAAGACTCTTTTCAGCCAAAACACAAGGGACTGTGTGGTCCTGAAGAAGATCAGGGCAGGTGCCTGCTGCACATAATCCCCGAGAGGAACACCAGACTCCAGACTCTCCTGCCCTGAGTAGTTTATAGGCCAAGCTGCACTTAGGAGCCTCTCACCTACCTGCTCAGAAGCCTTGTAAAACTGGAATCCAGGCCCAGGATGTTCAGGAGGAGACAGTCGAGGAGTGGAGGGCTGGGGTCCTCCTTGGGAAGAATGAATGATAAAGGAGGGGAGCAGCTGAAGGGAAGCCTGAGCTCCTGGGCTTCCTCAGACTCTGCTCTACTGTGGACCCTGCTCCACGCTGTACTCTGCTCCACTGTGGACCCTGCTCCACTCTGGACTCTGCTCTACTGTGGACCCTGCTCCACTCTGGACCGGGCTCCACTCCTCACTTGTAGGCAGGAGCCCTGCCTGCCTCCCCCGAGGGAGGGGCCTGCAGCCAGAGAAGCTTTCAGTTTCTGTTCCTGGAAATGGTTCATTTTCAGGATTCAGCTGCACAAATTCCACGCTCTCCTTCAGAGAGCGGGGGCAGGGTTCTGTCAGAGGGCCAGGCTTGAGGGTAGGAAGTCTGCCCAGGGTCAGTGACATCCAATTGCAGTCAGAGCCTCCTGGTGTGACCCTGCTGCCTCCCTTCCTGGAGCCCCCTTCTTGCTCAGATGATGGCACCTAACCCCTTCAGACCCTGTGAGCCCTAGTGCTTGGAGAGCTGCAGACCCTTCCTAAGACTGCCCCTCACAGCTGCTGTTCCTGCTCGGTAGTTCACTGGCTCCCTCTCACCCCACTCAGCTCAGATACAGGGAGGCCCCTCTGACCCACCCTAAGTCAGTTTACCCTAAACCAGAATCTCGTGCCTCCACTGCTGTCCCAGAGTTCAGGAGACACAGTACCGGGCTCACACTTTCTCTAATCACATGATAATAGCAATTTCTTTCTTCAGAAACTATATATACCCTGGGTTCCTGATGACCCGTATTTTACACCATGGCCAGAACAAGTTTGGAGTTTTCAGAGCTGATAAATGCCAGATCCAGAGGTTATCCTGTGGACCATGGCTGGTGTGGCTACCTTCTCACAGTCCCTGGCTTCTTGTTCCCTTTCAGTCTCCGGGCTGTTCTGAGCTCTTCCAAGCCCATGTCTTGCTGTTCCAACGGATGGAGAAGTGCTTCCCACAGCCACACAACCTCATCCTCCCCTCCAGACCTCAGCCTGGGATGGCCTCCAGAGACAGCCGGGCTGTCCCAGGACCCTGTTAGCAACTCCCCAGATGCCTGATTCTCCTTCCCAGAATAGCACAGCCCCTGGAGCACCCAGCCCAGAACTTCAGGGCCTGTGATCTCATGCTACTGCGGGTCAGCAACTCCTACCTCACACCAACATGAATAGTTCACTTTGTGTACGTGTCTTGGACCCAGAGGCGATCGACTGAGTCTCCAGGAAATATTAAAAGCAGAGGCTCCGGACTCTGCCATGATGCCTGCTATCTGTGAGGTCCTGAAGAGTCCTTTATCCTCTCCACAGATCTCATGTCTTCATTCTAATCGGGGAGCAGAGATGGGCATGACCGTACCCCTGGGGAAACTTCATGGAAATCTCATTAATTTATACAACTACTATGTGTTAAAAATTAGGGAGGCGGTTTGCCTTAGGTGGCAATGAACTTAGCTAGCATGCACAGGTCACAGGTTCCATCCCCAGCACCACATAAAACTGGGTATGAACCGGACATGGTAGTGCATGCCTTTAGTCCTAGCACTCTGGAGGCTGAGACAGGCAAGTCTCTGTGAGTTCCAGGACAGCCTGGTTTACATAGACAGGGCTACATAGAAGGCCTTATCTCAAAACAACAACAACAACGACAAAATCCACTGGAGAGGGGGCTGCGTGTCTCTCACCTCAGCACACAGAAAGAGGTAGAGGTAAAAGGATCAGGAGTTCAAGGCTATCTATGACTACATAGTTGAAAGCCAGCCTAGGATACAAGAGACCCTAGTGTACACACACACACACACACACACACACACACACACACACACACACACGCACGCACATCTCTACTTAGAGGTTGAGGTACCTGGAGAAACGGCTCAGTAGGGAGGGCACTTATTTGCTCTTCCAGAGAACATGAGTTCAGTTCTCAGCAACCATGCCAGGCAGCTGACAACTGCCTGTAACTCCAGATGGCCTCTGAAGTCACCCATACACACGTGGCATCCACAGACATATGTGCACAAATAAAACACATCTCCTTTTACAAATCTATGTAGGGCATTTGCAGCCTGGAAAAGGGGCAGGACAGTAGTGACAGGAGGGTGACACACAGAAAGCAAACAGAAGGACACAGAGTGACGCAGCTGTTTATTTTCTGCTGCTTCGCAGGGACACTGCAGATGTCAATACGGAGTTAGAAAACCCTGTGTGACCAAACAGCTGAGGGACAGAGGTAGAAAGGGACAAAATGTGTTTTGTGCGTTGATATTAGGCAACAGTGTGGGATGGCCAGGGATCCTCCCAGGGAAGTCACCTCGGTCCAGGGTGCTGCAGCTCTCTTCCCAGGCAGCCAGGCAGCCTAGACCTGCAGGAAGGGCTGTGCCTGTCCCTGAACCTCAGGGCACATCTGGAGGACCCATCCTTGCTTCTCTGTGTGAACGTGGACATGCAGTGAGGGCTGGGATCACAGGGTAGGTTAAGGGTCCCCTGCCTTGACCTGGGACACACTGGACTCAGGTTTCCCAGTACTCTCACTGACTCAAGCCACAAACAATAGTCTGTGACTCAATGACACTCTCTTCAGGAAAAATTGAGAAAATCAGAAGATGATGTTCACAGAACTGGAGGGATGGCGCAGGGTGAATGTCGTTTGCTGCTCTTCCAGAAGACTAGTGTTCTGTTCCCAGCACGCACAGCAGCCGCTCTCAACTGTCTGATCTCCAGCTCTAGGGGTTCAGCACCTTCTTCTGGCCTCTGTGGGCACTGTGTGTCACAGAGAGAGAGAGAGAGAGAGAGAGAGAGAGAGAGAGAGAGAGAGAGAGAGAGAGAGGGAGAGATTTTGTTTTGTTTGGGTTTTTTTTTCTTTTCTTATTCTTTTTTTTGTTTTTTGGGATTTTTTTTGTTTTTGGTGGGGTTTTTTTGTTTTTGTTTTTGTTGTTTGTTTGTTTTTTGGTTTTTTTTTGGTTTTTCGAGACAGGGTTTCTCTGTAGCTTTGGAGCCTTTCCTAGACTATCTCTGTAGACCAGGCTGGCCTCAAACTCACAGAGATCCACCTGCCCCTGCCTCCCAAGTGCTGGGATTAAAGGCGTGTACCACTGCCACCTGGCAAGAGAGGGAGTTTTTAAGTTACTGTCTAAAAGAGCAGATCTAACTCATACCAAGCACCAGTACCAGAATTAAACACTAGCAGAGACTCTCAGGACCTTGGTGACAGGGGAATGCGCATGCTCTCTGAATGAGTTTCCTTTCATCAGAGTCAGCTCCAGGCACCCATCAGCAACAGGAGAAGAGTGTCTGGTTGACAGGATGCAGGTATGGACATGGGCTGAGGGGCAGAGGTGTCTCCTGTCAACCTGGACAGAATGGAACCTCCTCCAAGAGCTCCACACTTGTCCTCAAGTAGGGGTGTTAAGAATCTAATTACTGGCTGGATGTGGTGGCACACACCTTTAATCCCAGCACTTGGCAGGCAGAGGCAGGTAGATCTTGTTTAGTTCAAGATCCACCTGGTCTACATAGTGACTTCCAGGACAGCTAGGGCTACAGAGTGAGACCCTGTCTCAAATGACAAACAAACAAATAAGAATGTAATTACCCCAAGACACCTACTTTGCAGATAAACAATGTGTCCTGTAAAGAGCCTTGGGAAGGTGGGGGTCTGGCCCAATTGGCAATGTGCTTTCCCTGGCAAGCACAAAGCCCAGGATTCCATTCTTGGTACTGCAAAAAACTGACCACGATGGCACAGACTTATAATCCTACATTTGAGAAGTGGAGGCAGGAGGATCGGAGATTCACGGTCATCCTCTGATATATCCTAGGATACATAAGACCCTGCCTCAAAACAGCAGCAGCAGCAAGAAGCAAAGGAACTTGTGAATGCTTCTTACTGAAGAACCTATCTAGCATGGCCTAGCTGAGGGCACATGGAAGCAGAACTGAAACCTATATCCATCCTCTGTGTCTTCCATACTCAAATCGGCAGATGCTGAGTATACTGAGTGCTGGGATCCATTCCAGAGTAGCCAGGAGCCTTTCTCAGGGTAAAATTTTAAGCACAAAATGCTTGGTTGACATACTTAGGGTAATAAGAATAGATAGCCAGGCAGGGCATGGTGGTGCACGCCTTTAATCTCAGCACTCGGGAGGCAGAGGCAGGCAGATCTCTGAGTTCAAGGCCAGCCTGGTCTACAAAGCAAGTTTCAGGACAGCCAGGGCTACACAGAGAAATCCTGTCTCTGGGGAAAAAATAAAAAATAAAAATAAAAAATAGCCAGAAGTGGAACTACGGAAGCCAAACATTGAGGAGAAGTCATTTAGAGACTTTCCCAGAACTAGGACTTTGATGGATGAAGTCTCTGTTTGTTTTGGCAGATGGTGCTGTGTGCTGAGTTTTATGACCTGAATGGTACTTCCATCATGGAACCGGTTCTGCTAAGGCCTCGGGGCCTGTTACAGCCTTCACCCCACATATAGCTCTCTAGCTCTCTCTTTCTGTTTCTCTCTCTCTCTCTCTCTCTCTCTCTCTCTCTCTCTCTCTCTCTCTCTCTCTCTCATACACACACAGAGGTGTGGCCTAGTGGGAGATAATTAGGTCATAGGTAATAGTGTCATTGCTCTAGGAAGACAGAAATCATGTTCTGGATTCAGCTGTTTTCCTTAAGAATGGGCCTTTGACAGAAAAAAAAGGAGCCCGGGCCCTGGATCTCCTGTGCTCTGGCCTCTTCCACAGGAACTCCTGCCATTGTTATGACCTCCCCAGAGGCCAGCTTGATGGGTCACCCACTGGGAACTCCCAGGACTATGGGTTAATAAACCTTATCTCCTTTTATATTGCCTACACTCAGGTACTTTGTTGTAAGTCCAGAAAATACACAAAGACTTTGATGTCTAGGCTTGAGGAAACCACTTTTCCCTGTGTTGGCTCAGGACTCAACACCCTTGGTGGTCTTGAAAACTGGTCACATGTTTAACCAGACACAAAAACATCTTCAGCAGGCCATCGATACGGCTCAGCAGGAAAAGGTGCTTGCCACCAACCTGATGTCCTGACTTCAGTCCCTAGAACCTACCAGGGAGAAGGAGAAAATAGAGTCCACGCGCTGCCGTAAGCATTCAGACACACACATGCACTCACATGGGCACACAAAAGCCCCAACACCCAGATTTTAAGAGACAGTTTCCACCTTCCTCTGAACCCTCCAAATTTGTAAGTGCCACTCCTAGCCAGTTGAGTCACCACCAGGGGTATCTAGGGAAAGAGAAAATAAGAAAACTAGTAATGAAGGCAACTTTAATGGCTTAGGAAGGAGACAATTTGATTTAAACATGCATGACAATGAAAACTGAAAGCATAAAAGCTATGTGCTGAGCCAGGAAAGCGAGGCTGAGTATCTTGGTGGATACTTGTTCTTTGAAGGAAAGTGATAATGGAGTTGAGTGTGGGAAGATGTGAGATTTTCTTAACTCCTCTAACAATATTAAGCCTTACGACAATGTGTGGCTGTAGTTTTTGATTTCTAGTGGATAGCTAGGTTCTTAAGCCAAAAGAAGACCCTGAGGCAGCCTGAATTTGACTTGGCGGTAAGCTAGACCCTCCCCAGTGGACTTAAGGAAAGAGGGTCCTGTCCTTCAGGACTCTCCTCAAGAAGATCTTGGTGTCCCAAGCAACTAGTTCAATGACAATCTGAAGTCTCCGGTGTCTGAAGACACGGATGACAGAGTTCCACAAGCCATACCACAGTGAGAATGCTAGACACTTGAGGAATGTGACCACGGGACAACACATCATGAGTCTCAGTCTCCAGTCCCTCTTGTGCAAGTCCTGGTACCGCATGGCCCTGTAGCCCATCTCCAGTGTCCCTGTCCTCTGAGCCACCTGCTGAAGTGACCAATCATCCACACCAAAGGACTTCTGGTAGGTCTCAAGACTCTCCTCAAGGTCAGCAGCGCCACACATGCGGCTCACAGGTGTCTCCAGGGGATTTGTGGTCACACCTTCCTTCAGAGAGAACGCCTTCCTGTCGATGCTCTTGTCACAGATTTCAGAGAGGATCTCTAAGGAATCTTCATACCTGATGCTGGAAAGGTCTTTTTTCAGTGTGTCTCTGAGCTTCGGGAAGTCATGTGATGAAGGCTCAAAGCTAGATACCAGGAATATGGGGGGCACCTTCACCCCCTCCTTCTGGAGGTTCTCCTGAATACTCTCCTGGATACTCCGCAGTAGCTGGGGTTCTGAGTGGGCACTTGTACCGAGGTCCCTGTCCAGCTTTG